ATGATGCAAGACCTCTCTCGGCCTATGTACCAACTATTCATCATTGGTCGACTTTTTGTGGCCATGGCCAACAGTCGCATGTCCTATGCGCTGCGATTCTATGCGGCCCCCAGGGCCCTTCACGTTATGCCGCGAGCTCTTCGAAGATCTTGATCAGGCTCCGCACGCCCACCAGCGCATTCTCGTCAGGACCCAAGCCAGGGGTCCACTGCGCGTGGGCAAAGTCGATGAGTTTGAGCTCGAAGATCTTCGGCAGAGAAGGGCCGTCATCCTCGTCGTCACTGTCGTCATTTTCGTCGCCTTGCACAATATCTTCAACCATCAGCTCGATCCCGCTATCTACGCGAAAGGTGGTTCTACCGAAATTATCGTCCTTCCGGCCCGTGCGGTTCTCGACGTGGTCGACAGCCGAATTGTTGGCCTCGATGGCTTCGCGCAGCTTGTCGCCGTCGCCTTCGAAGACAAAGAGGAGACTGGAGGAGTACATCCTGCTCTCGTGTATCGACAGCACCTCCTCAACATTGTGCAGCTCGCGAACAAAGGCGTGACAAACGGCCTTGCCAAGTTCCTCGTCTATGTCAGCGGCTGGGTTGAACACGAACTTGCGGAACGCGTCAACGACATTGTCAGTGTTGACACTGACGCGGCCGAAGTCCTTGTCGTAGATTCTGTAGTCCTCTTCGTTGAGTTCAGCCTTGTCGAGTGAGCCGCGATAGGCACGCATTCCAGCGATTCGAAATCCCAAGGAACCATGCGTCGTCTCGGAAGCAATCTTGTCAAATCTTGTCTTCTTCTGCTGTGGCGCATCATCGGCCCAAAGGCGACGGCCGAGCTTCGCGTCGAGAATGTTGGCGCGCGTGAAGCCGCTCGAGGCGTTCTCGAGCACTACAGCCTGGTCGGTCTTGATTTTTTTCGTCTTGTTCGGTATCCAGGTAATGCCGTCATTGCTCACGGGTGCTGTGTCTGCCACGGGAATCTGTGCCTGGGCTTGGACAGCCTCGATAACCTTGGCTTGGACGTCGGGGTCGGCAACAAGACCTGGTATACCGTCGTCGGCAGAACTGAGCTCAGTAGGGTCGCTGAGGCTCAGCGTGCCGAGGAAAAGGGGCATCAGCTCTGCGAATTCGGGGTAGCGGGCATTGGCAGATTGGTAAAATTCAACCTCGAGTTGCGTGCAGGGCTTGATGAAGAGCTCGCCGTCGGCATCGCACATGGTTCCAGCACTAGCAAGAGAGGTCAGTCTGGGTGTGCTCCGAAGAAGCGCATGTTGCGACAAGATGCGCCGAACCAACTTACTGTCCTGCCACAGCGTGGGTACAATCGACAAGTTCAGACCGAGCTGGAATCTCCTTCTCCTTCTTCTCCTTTTTCTTTCCCGCCATTGTCAAAATGCGGTGTTCCTGAAGTGGTCGCGACTACTTTCTAACGTATTTGCATATCGAGGGAGCGGTATTGAGGAGGCGCAATGTTGGGTAGCCACCAGAGTTAGGATCGAGCGGTTGCACTATTGTAGATGTGGATGGCGCATGGGTCGGTGAAGAATGGAGTCGGGACCAGCAAGGCGTCGACAGGATCAAGTTCGCAGGAAGCGTTGCAAGCGAGAATCTTCGCAGCCTACAGGTGGTGGCGATCCAAACAGGCGACGGGACGACGAAGGAATGACTGAGTCTTTAAGGAGAGTGAGATTTGGGCGCGGGCGCAGGCACAGGCGACGACGATTCAGGGTTGCGCAGTTGGGTTCGCTTGTCGTTTGCCGCTGGTCATTGGGTTGGACGGGGATTGTATTGACATGGGCTGGCGGAGTTCAGGTCGGGAACAGGGGGCCCTGACCAACTGGGCCTGAATGATGGTGCGGAGCGCAAGAAGAGGGGGGGGCGAGTGGGAGGGAACCAGCAGAAGCGTAGAGAGAGGAGTGGTGGGTTCGACAAGAAGGAACGGCATGGCATTCCACAACGCCACAGCGGATGAATGGGCAAAAGTGCCAAGATGATCTCGAATCCACTGAAGGGCACTGGAGACACTGGGAGACGCTGAAGGCGCTGGTACACTGCCTTCTCAGCCACGATCGCTACCACACCCACGCCTGCACCTGCCGTGATTGCCGTCGTGCCTAGTTCAGGCTAGGGGGGGCCGAAGTACTACGTGTACAAGGTACGAGGCACACTGATGGGCATTCCTCGTTGCGCCTCCTTACCTGGCCCTTGTCATGCCTGTCATCATCTTGGGGGCACCAACTGGAAGTAAAGGGAGGTATTCTCAAGTGGCACAGAGTGATATGAGACAGGCTTCTCTCACATGGCCGCTCTAGTTGGTCATTCAGCACAAATTTATCACCTCTGAAATTTATTGGACGGTATCAAGACTTTTGTTCCACGTTGCACTCGATCGCCCGAGAAGTCACGCTGGGCCATGTTGATCGGTTGAACCAAGTTTAACGCGTCTACTTGACAAAGAGACTTTGTTCACTGTGATCGGGGTCATCCTAAATATCAGCATGGCCCAAAGAAACACACAAACCAGCATAGGAGAGGGCTAAAATGCCCACAAAAAGGGACTTGTGCATACAGCTCTAGCTCCCATGCTTGGATCTTTGACTCCCGTCCCATTCTCTGACGTGGCAGTGTGAGGTATCTCGCGATCGCTGTCGGATTCGCTTGTCATCACTTTTGTCAATCTAATTCCCCCTCCATTATCATCCCGCGTCATGTGCGAAGTTTGCATTTGCTCAAGCGCCTTGGACACTTTGCATATGCGGAACAAACCAATGTGAGGTGATCTGGTCGGCGCCCACTCTGCGCCCGACGGACTATGTCACGACGCCCCTTCTGCTCCGCCCCGACTTCGCCCGCCTGAGTATTACCTGAGGTACACGTGCAGTACAGGTGTG